CTTAGGGGGACACATGGTTTCTGTCACTCCACTGAATTCTGACATTGTAGCACAAACTAATATGTAAGAATGAGGGTGGCTGTATCCCAATAAAATGTTACAGATGCTAAAATTTCAGTTGCATAAAATTTCCATGTGTCACTAAGTCTTCTTTGGATTTTTTCAACCATTAAAACAAGTAAAGCCCATTTTCAGGTGGCAGATCATAAAAAAACTTGGCAGAGGGCCAGATTTGGTCTGTGGGCCATAGCTGCTGGCACCCCTGGGTGCCTGCCTCCTAGCTCAAGATGTCAGGGTTCTTCGCAGTAGCTAAGGGGCTGGGCGAAGGACAAAGGACTTCGGACAGCAGGGCTCTGTGTCTGAGTCCCTGCTGTGTTTCAGGTTTGCTGTGCATCTCCGGGTCACTCACTTTCCTTTTCTGGGCCTGTACATCAAGGCAGCTTTCAAAGCTTTTCTCTACCTATCCCCCACACCAGGACTTTTCCCCGAAGATATGCTAATAGAACTCTTTTTTAAGATATATTTTATTTATTTTAAAGGCAGAGTAATGGAGAAAGGGAGAGAGGGAGAGAGGGAGAGAGGGGGAGGGGGAAGAGAGAGAGAGAGAGAGAGAGAGAGAGAGATCTTCCATCCACCAGTTCACTCCCTAAATGGCTGCAACAGGACAAGGTCAGGAGCAGGAACTCCATTTGGTCTCCCACATGGGTGAATGGCAGGTGCTCAGGCACTTGGGTCATCTTCCGCTGCCTTATCAGGCTCATTAGCAGGGAGCTGGATCAGAAGTGGAGCAGCTGGGACTCTAAGTGCATTCTGGTATGGAATGCTGCCACTGCAAGAGGCAGATTACCCCACTGTGCTCTAATGCCAGCCCCAACACAGAACTACTGTATCAAAAGCTGACAAAAGGGCTCTTGCTGCCGCTGGCTGGGAGTGTGGCCAGGCTCCTGCCCGTTGGCTCCTGCTCCGCCTTTGGGAGCAGCCCCAGAGTCTCTCTGCAGGGCACCGTCTTTGAACCAGCCCCTCTCCGGATCCTGAATGAGATACAGACTTTCTCTACCTCTGCACTTGACACCTGGGGCTGGGTAATTCTTTCTTGGAGGAGCTGTTACGACTAGATGCCAATAGCAACCCAAACTGTCTCCACACATTGCCAAAGTCACTTGGGAGGATGAGGTTGATCGCAGTGGCCTAAGCCATCTCTTTTATGAAGTGGACCTCTGAATCTTGTTATTTTTTTTGGTGTTAAGGAATAACACCAAAAAAGCTTTATGTATTTATTTTGAAAGTCAGAGTTACTCACACACACACACACACACACACACACACACAGATCTTCCTTTCACGGGTTCACTCCCCAGATGGTTGCAATGGCCAGTACTGGGCCAGGCTGAAGCCAGGAGCTAGGAGCTTCATCTGGGTCTCCCTCATGGGCTCCAAGCACTCGGGCCATCTTCCACTGCTTTCCCGTGCATTAGCAGGGAGCTGGATCAGAAGTGGAGCAGCATGGACATGAACCAGTGCCCATAAGGGATGCTGGTGCTGCAGGCAGTGGCTTTACCTGCTATACCACAGCACTGACCCTGAGACTTTAAAGACACTGTTGCTCCTGACTTGACCAGACCAGGCTGCACTGCCAGGAGACACTGAGCCTGTTCCCTCCCTGCGGAGACAGGGCACAGAGAGCCCCCATTGCATGTCCCATGCTGCTCGCAACATAAAGTCATGGTGGGCCTACTGTGTGCTGCTGAGAGATGGCAAGGGGCACAGGGACAGGGCACAAGATGTCCGTGTCTGCCTCTGAGAGGCATTCAGTAGGGGAGCCAGACACAGAAACAGTTAATTAGAGTGCAGTGAAAAATAAAAAGATGTTTATGGTAGCTTGTGTTAGATGAAAAACCGGTGTGCCGTGCATGAGCCAATGTTTGTCAGATACACACGTGGCCGGTTGAGTCTGAAGTCCCTGGAAAAGGACACCGGACCCTTGTCCTGGAGACAGGAGGTGGGGAGGAGGCTTTTCCAAGACCACAGGTCATCTCCTGCTTACAGAAGAACGGCACCAGCAGGGACAGCTGCTCTCTGAGTCCAACACTGTACGATAATTCACTTAACCCTCACAGCACCCCTGGGGCCCTCTGGTTCCAGGGCTGATGTTTCATTCCTTCTCCCAGGCTGGCTGCTTTTCGGAAGCATTTCGTTGGAGGCCATTCTTCCACCTGTCATGAAGAGGGACCACATCACGCTGCCCTGGGACACCGAGAGGTCCCACAGAGAAGGTGACCTGTGAGCTGAGTTTCCGAGGAAGTGCGTGAGCTTACCAGGCGAAGCCGGTGCGGGGGCGGGCGCTGTACCCAGGACAGAGCAGACAGCGAGCTCCAGAGTGGCACAGTGGGGAGCACAGGAAACAAAGCTTGGGTGTGCCCAGGACCTGCTCACAAAGCCAGGGTGCTCAGGAGCTGAGGTGGGTATTCTGAGGGCGATGGGGAGCCAGCGAGAGCTTTAGGCAGGTGACACACTGGTCAGGAAGCGCAAGCTGGTGTGCGTGACAGGCAGGCGGCTCTGGGGACGGACAGGCCAGGGGGAGGTGGTAGCAGCAGCCCACGCTGTAACTGGGGAAGGGGCAATGTGGTAAAAATGGAAAAGTGCACAAGCTCTGGAAGATCCAGACGCAGGTGGATCCAACACCTCTTCTCCCCACTTCCCCGCTTCCAAGCTGAGAACCGTGGGCAACACCCTTCTCTCCAAACCTCCGGGACTTGACCTGCAATGAGTGGGTACCAGCGACAGCCCCTTCCCTGCCTGCCCCCTTGAGGCAGAAGCTGGTGACCAGTTTTCTCCTCTGAGTGGCCCAGCTGCTTGTTCAGTGAGGGCCTGCAGGTGCATCCCAGCCTGCGAGCTCACCACCATGCCTGAGTGTCACGCAGACCTGGAGGCTGGACCAGTTTACCTGGGAGGGGGAGGAAGAAGATGGAGCCAGAGGAATGGGCCAGATCCCTAGATCCGCATTAGCCCCAACCAGCCGCTCTGGTCCCAGGTGGGCCGGGTCTGGCTGGATCCAGGTGTGAGCTGCATCACGCCTGCTCCCTGCTCCCGGGGTGGGGTTGGGGGTCACCATGGACCAGGGAAGATTCCCAAATGGAGCCACCATGTCACGTGACAGCAGAGCCAGGCTGGCTCCCCAGGGGATAAGATCTAACAGACAACCCTGGTGAGAAGCTACTATTGTTTCCATTTTATAGACAACGAGATCACAGCTTCAAGAGAAGAATGTGGGGGCCAGCGTTGTAGCGTAGCAGGTAAAGATGCTACCTGCAAAGCCGGCATCCCATATGGCGCTGGTTCAAGTCCCAGCTGCTCCACTTCTGATTCAGCTCTCTGCTGTGGCCTGGGAAAGCAGTAGAAGATGGCCCAAGTCCCACCCACATGGGAGACCCAGAAGAAGCTCTTGGCTCCTGGCTTCGGATAGGCGCAGCTCTGGCCATTGCAGCCATTTGGGGAGTGAACCAACGGATGGAAAACGACTCTCTCTCTCTCTCTCTCTTTCTCTAGGCTTCTGCCTCTCTGTAAATCTGCCTTTCAAATAAATAAATAAATCTTTAAAAAAAAAATAAAAAGAGAGAGAGAAGCACGTGGCCCGTGGCCTGTCTTCCTCTTCCGGCCTGGGAGTAGCTGACAGGACAGAAATCACCACCTGGCCAATTCTGTGGCCCTAGTTTCCAGGAGGCTCCAGTTTCAGCCATGCTTGGGTGTATCCCAGCAACTTCATCCTGCCCAGGCCGGGACCTCAGCCTGGGGTGGGGGTGGGACACACACACACACACACAGACAAAGCACTCCCATCTGCTGCATCACTCCCCAAATGCCTGGAGCTGGGCTGGGATGAAGTTGGGAGCCAGGGACCCAATCAAATCACCCTCATGCTGCGAGGCAGGAGCTCAGCTCCTTGGCTGGGCCCTGGGAGGGTCTCTTTTAACCAATGATGGACTTATGCCTTGCAGCAATGATTGGGGCTGAACGATCCATGGCCTTAGCTGCCCACTCTCTTCTCCCCTGACCCACAGGGCTGCCAGTGGCCTCTGGTTCCGGTGCTGCCCACCTCTGGAATAGGCAAGGTTGAAGGAGGCCTGCCGGGTCCCCAGCTAAGCTCAGCTGCTTCTGAGCCCCATGGGCTTGCCCAGGCCACTGTCCCTCCCTGAGCCTGTCTCTGTGCACACAGACGGCACACCCAGGGATGGGGAGATGAGGTGACAGCTGAAACACTGTCCCAGAGGAAGCACTGGTGCTCGGAGCACTCCAGGGCTCCGGGCTGGAAGGCATCCTCAGGCCCGGGAGTCTGGGAACAAGGGGCCTGGGCCCTGCGTCTGACCTGCCCTGCGGCTCTGAGCTTCTGCTCCCACACGGATGCTCCGACCTTCCGCCGTCCATGTTGCTGGGCTGGAGGAGGAGGTGGCCACCACAGCTCCAGGGGGAAGCCTTGGCATGGCTGGAGGCACTCTGACTCCAGTCCCCTGATTGGTTGGAACAGCAGAAAAATGCAGTAGCAAAACCCAGATCCTAACAGATCCTAGAACTGGCTCCCTTCACATGCGCAGGTGCGAACTGGGGACCCCCGTCCTCCCCTGTGGGGCGGGGGCGAGTCCGGAGGAGCAGGTCAGACCTCTGCAGTTAGACAGCGACCTGGGAGGGCCTGGATGAGGGTCTTCTTCGCCAAGAACGCCTTATGCTCCGTCACGCTGGCTGGGGACTTTGCTCTCCGACTGACCACGGTGAGAAGAAAAAGGCCCTCATGGTTACATCTGCGCTGTAGGCGGGAGACTTGCCACTTCGGGCCTCAGTTTCCCTGTCTGTAGAATGGGAGGAGGAGGCCGCCTTGCCGCCACCCCCCCCCCCCCCCGCCCTCCGCCGCCGCCCCAAGGACTGACATTTCCAGCAGTTCCGGGGATGGCCCCGCCGCCCCGCCTCTCCAGCCAGGCCCAGTCGCGCTGTCACTTTAAGTTCGGGCGGAGCGGGAGTGGCTGGCGACTGGGCACCTGGAGCCGCCCAAGCCACGGCCACCAGGAGTCGCCGGACCCGCGAGCCATAGGGACGAGTCTGGGAGGAGAGAGGGGGCGGATAGCGCTCCCGACTTGCGGCGGGCACCTTGCGAGCAGAGGGCGTAGCCGGGCTCAGCGCCCCATGGGCAGCGGGAGACCCCCCCAGCCCGCGACGGGACTGCGGCCCGCCCACCGTCTCCACGCGCCCCGGCACGGGGTAAGCGTCCTCCTTCTCGCCCTGGCTTGCGACATCTCGGCGGCTTCTAGCGCCCGTCCCTTAAGCTTGGCCGCAGTGGCTTGCGGGCAGCATCCGCCTGGGCTCTAACTTGCGGGGTGGCCTCGGATTCCCTGGTGGTTAGAAAGGGCTGGGTCAGCCCAGTTCTCGCTCAGAGTTTTGATCTTCATGGAAACTGGCACCCAAGTGCCCTTCTTGGTCACCTGGAGTCGAGATGGGGGCTCGGCGGGGCTTCCTAGCCCTGACGTCCCTGCAGGCTGGCCCCGGTGCCCGGTGGGCAGGTGCGGTAAGATGGTGGGTGCCGACGGGTACTAAGTGCTGCTGTGCCAAGAAAAAGCCTAGCGCTAGGAGAATAAGTGGTTTCCATGTATTTTTTTAAAAGATTTATTTATTTTATTTGAAAGAGTTACACAGAGAGAAGGAAATTCAGAGAGAGAGAGAGATTTTCCATTTGCTTGTTCACTCCCCAATTGGCTGATCTGAAGCCAGGAGCCAGGAGCTTCTTCTGGGGTTCCCACATGAGTGCAGGGGCCCAAGGACTTGGGTCATCTTCCAAGGCTTTCTCAGGCCATGGCAAAGAGCTGGATTGGAAGTGGAGCAGCCAGGACTCGAACTGGCGCCCATATGGGATGCCAGTACCACAGGCAGAACCTACTGTGCCATAGTGCTGGCCCCTCCATGTATTTTAATCTTCTCAGGCAAGCTGGTGGTGTTGTGCCCACTTCACAGAGCAGAGCACTGAGGCTGCAGGAGCTAGATGGCGTGCCCAGTGTGGGAGCAGAGCCCCGGCTCTGCCCAGCTCGGTGTCACGCTGCCTCGTCTATAGCTGGCGTCTCCTCTGAAGATTTGAGCTCAGACAGGCGGAACAGGCTGCCCAGGGTCCCAGAGCTGACAGAATAACCCTGGTCAGAGGGGTGACGGAGAGATCTGACCCTGCTGCCCTGGCTGGAGGGGTGGGGCTGCCAGCAGAAGGACTTCTGGGAAGGGGTGGATCTGGAACAAGGCATCCAGTGAGGGCCCTGGATTGGAGCAGAGGGCTCCCAGGTAGGAGTTTGGGGAAAGGCAGCGGGGGGTGGGGGGTGGCTGAAGGAGATGGGTGGGAGGGCAGTGGAGGCAAAGGCAACCTGGCAGGCCCTGAGTGAGTGCCCGGATTGGAGGTGGGACTTTCCCGAGATTGGTGGAACTTCTTGCCTGTCTCCTCCACTCCCGCCAGACTGGGGCTATGCCATTCCCAGGGCAGGGAGCCCTTCCTTCCTCCCCGATCAGGGTCCAGGATCTGGAGGTGCATGGTCCTGAGAGCTGAGCTACTGCCTGAAGACCCCCTCTTGGACAGGGGGCGGGGGCCAGAACCTCCTGCTGGTAGCGGGTCCCAGCCTGATCTGTAACAAAGCAAGCCACCGCGGCACAGTGGAACAGGCGATGTTGACAGCACCCAGGATGGCAGGCTACCCTGCCTGCAGTGGGGGAGGGGGTCCCTAGGGAGGGAGGGCAATGCACACACAGGTGACCCAGGTGGGAACACCCTGTGGGCCGCTGTGCAGGCCTGTCTGAGGCCTGGGGACCTCGAGGCCAGAAAGGAGGGCAGTACGTGGTGAGCGTGAGGGCTGCCCATGCGAAAGATGTCTACGTGCACACATCTCTGCTCAGTGTGGTCCCCACCGCATAGGGAGAGGCTTGGCTGTGCACACACAGAGAGACTGGCGTCGGCTTAGACCTGTTTCTAAGTCCAGCACTGACCTGGGACAAGCTGTTGCCCCAGGGGTTGTCCTGGGTTGTGTGGAGTAAGCCATGGGGCAGCTGCAAAATACAGGGCGTGGTGCCCAGCAAGCTTCTTGCCCAGCACACCCTCTGTGTGCAGGCCAAAGGAGCAGTGGGCAGGACGCGTCCCCGCAGGGCCAGTGCTCCTCTCCGGGCGGCAGCACGTGTGGTGACTTCTGTGTTGCATTTTATTCTCGTCTGTGGTTCCTTCCTTTCCCCACAAGGAGCCGCGGCCACTTTCAGGCAGAGTAAAATGCCTCCCAGTCCCCTGGTGCAGGCGGGAGTCCCTGTCTCTGAACTTGGGTGGCTCCCTTGCCTCTTGGGGCTGCGTCTCCTCTTTTGTAAAATGAGCATCTTCCCGGCCCTGACCGCGGGGAACTCGGGCAGGTGCTGAGTGTGCAGCAGATGAGGGTGCCCTCTGGCTGGTTTGCTGGCGCATTTTGCACCTACTGCCTTCTCTAGCCTTCCTGCACTCTCTGACGGGGCAGGGTGCAGGTGTAGCCGGCTTCTTTTTCTCCCTGCATGAGCTGCACACCGGAGGCAGGAATTCACAGGCGGGGAATCCTAGGCACTGACAAGTGGCCTCTCTCTCTGCTTCCAGTGGCGTCAGGGGCTCAGGGAGGGAGACAGGGGAAGGGCCCTTGGGCATTTTCATGTGTCCTTAGAGAAGCTTTCTCCGGTGAGGACTGGGCTGTCCTGGGAGGAGCCCGTGGAAGCCAGCAGGCTGAGGGAAGTGTGGGGACAGTGCACAGCCTACAGGGTGGCCTTGGGGACAGCCTGCTCCCAGGCTTCGGCCTCAGCAGTCTGTGTGGGCCAGGGCCAGGCTTCCTTCCAATAGCTTGAAGATAGCACGGCATCACGTGTGCTTCCTCCCGGTTGCCAAACGCTTGTGCCGAGTTTCTTGGATGTGTTTTAAATGGATTAATGTTAATCATTCCACCCAGAAGTCACGCTGTGGGTTACTTCCCGCTTTGCTTTTGAACATTTTGCCACATTCACTTTTTTCTTTTCTTTTTTCTTTTTTTGACAGGCAGAGTGGACAGTGAGAGAGAGAGAGAGACAGAGAGAAAGGTCTTCCTTTACCATTGGTTCACCCCCCAATGGCCGCTGCGGCTGGCGCACCGCGCTGATCCGAAGCCAGGAGCCAGGTGCTTCTCCTGGTCTCCCATGGGGTGCAGGGCCCAAGCACTTGGGCCATCCTCCACTGCCCTCCCAGGCCGCAGCAGAGAGCTGGCCTGGAAGAGGGGCAACCGGGACAGAATCTGGCGCCCCGACCGGGACTAGAACCCGGTGTGCCGGTGCCGCAAGGTGGAGGATTAGCCTCTTGAGCCGCGGCACCGGCCCACATTCACTTTTTTTAAAAAAGATTTATTTATTTTGAAAGGTGGAGTTACAGAGTAAGGTGGAGAGAGAGAGAGAGAGAGAGAGAGAGAGATCTTCCATCTGCTGCTTCACTGTCCAGCACTAGACCAGGCCAAAACCAGGAGCCAGAAGCTACATCCAGGTCTCCCACATGGGTGCAGGGGCGCAAGCACTGGGGCTGTCTTTGGTTGCTTTTCCCAGGCCAATAGGAGGGAGCCGGATCAGAAGTGCAGTGAGCAGCCGGGACACGAAGCGGCACCCTGTGGGATGCTAGTGTTGCAGGCAGCGGCTTTATCGGCTACACCACAGCGCTGGCCCCACCTTTCCATTTCTTTATACTTGGACATTCTGGCTCTTTCCACATCATGGCCTCCTAGACAAGGCCACGGTGAGCATCTCTGTGCTGCGCATGACGTTTTGTCCCACGTTGTGAAGTTCACCCTCAGACTTTTCAGTGTGCTCTTTCCCCCTTGTTCCGGGTCTTCAAATCTTTCCCTGTCAGATGGGGAGGGCAGCGTGGCGCCCCCGTGGGCCTGGGTGGCCCGCCTGTCAAGTGCTCCCTCTCCTGGCCCCCAGCCTCTGGTACCCAGCAGGTGACAAAGCTCCTGGTGCCTGCAGAGTCCCAGAATGAGCAGGGCCACACCTGGCCGCTCTGACCAGGCCCCGGGCGTGGTGCCAGGAACCCGACACGTGTTGTTTGTGGCTCCCAGAGGGCACTGCCAAGTCTTCATCTGCATCCCACGATCTCTCCAGGGTCTCACAGTGCCCTCGCTCACGGGGAAATTGTACCTGGGCTCCCCAGGACCCGAGCAGCGGCCCACTTGCTCTTCTCTCTCCTTTGCCCTGTCCAGATGTGCAATGGCCGCCGCCTGGCCTCCACCACCCGCTGTTGCATGACAGCTGGCGGCTTGGTGATTCTGGTGACCGGGACACTGTGCTTCGCCTGGTGGAGTGAAGGAGAGGCAGGTGCCCTGCCCACCCAGCAGGCCCTGCCCACCGAGCACCCCGCCCCTGCCGCCCCCGGCCCCCTGCTCAGGCCGGTCAGCTTCCTCTGCTGCAGCGTTGGGGGCCTGCTGCTGCTCTGTGGCCTGCTCTGGTCCCTCAAGGCCAGCATGCAGGGGCCGCCCCAGTGGGACCCGCACCCTTGCCCCAGAGACCTGGACTACTGTACCGTGGAGGCCTTGGACAAGAAGAGCTGCAGGTCAGCAGGGGGCTGGGGGCCCAGTCACACAACCTGGCATCAGGCCTTCCACGACCAAGACAGATGACAAACCAGAGTAGTTAGAGCCGTGAGCGAGGGGCGGACATGGTCCTGTGGAGTCATGGAGAAAGCCAGAAGGGCTTCCATGGGGAGGTGGCAACTGGCCTCAGCCTTTTGTGGAGCAGAGTGGCAGAGGAGTGGAGGGCCCTGGCACAGGGGTCACGCCCACTGGGTCCCTGTCTATCCCTGACCAGCTCTGGGAATCTCCACTTCCTCATCTGAAATAGAATAGGAATGAGGCTAATGGCAAGGACTTGTAGTGTTCCAGCCAGCACCAGGCGCTATTGTAAGACACTCACCGAGTCCTACAGCAGCCCCCTGCGCTAGGTGCTGATTGTCGTTAATCCCATATGTAGAGGAGAACAGCCAGGCACCGAGATGTCAGGTAGCTTGGCCAAGGTCATCCAACTGCTGTGTGTCACAGGCAGCACCTGGACACGGGTGCCCACGCTTAGCGTCTGTGGGAGGATGGGATCAGCTTGTGGTGTGCAGAGCTTAGCCTGTGGCTGGGCACACAGCAGGTGCATGGCACGGGACTTCTCAAGCAGACAGGGGGCAAAAGAGCCTGGGGCAAAGGCCGGGGGGTGGGCTGGGGTGGAGGGTGAGAGGGTGGGAGAGTGCATTATGCCAGCACTTCTCAATCTTTTCTCATTACCGCCTCCACTCAGTCTTCTTGGCCGTTTTTTCTTAATCCTCTCCCGGGACATTTAAACACCACAAATGTAGTGTGTATCTGATATGTTCTGTGTGGATACCAGGGAGCTCCACAAAGTCTGTGAGAAATACACGCTGCGAAACAACTCGGCTGGGATGTCAGACTGTACTGGAGCTGTAACGAGAGCATCAGCCCAGCCCAGAGCTGGCTTGTGCCTGGTAACAGCACAGGCATCGCCCGCGCCTTTGCTGCGCTCTGCCTCCCAGGGAGGGGCCTCTGTGGTCCCCTCCTGCCCGCCTCCCTTGGCAGCGAGTCACTGTTGCCGGTGGCAGAGAGGAAGGTGCAGCTCACAGGCTGGAGAGTGCGGGCCCTGCTGGCTGCAGCGCCTTCTTCCACCGCTGCCTAAGCCCTGGGCTGAGGCACGAGGTGCTGAGCCTGACCTCCGACCTCTGACCTCCAACCTGTGACCTCCAGGAGCCAGTCTTTGTTGCAAGGAAAACCTACCTCCAGTTAAAGGTGCAGGAGCATTCGCACTGGCGGCCTGGGCCGTCCCAGGACCAGCAAGGATGGCATCTGGGTCCAATGCGGTGCGAGCTGACTGTTGGAGGCCAGGGCTGGCGCCTTCCTTCCTCCTGGGAGAAGACTGGCTCCCAGGCAGCAGCCAGCAGGAAGCAGGCCAGGCCCAAGACGCTCTGGCCTGGTGCCTGGTCTGCATGCACGGGGCAGGTGGCATCCGCACACACGCCCTGTTGACGCAGCAGGACCTGGGCCACCTCGTCCAGCAGGAAGCCCACTTAGGGGCCTGCTTTAGGCCCTGGGACCCCAGTGTTGGGCTCTGAAACCAGGGTGGCTGGGTGTCAAGGCAGCGGCCCGTGCGAGCTGCCCACCCTTGTTCCCGTCCCCGACATGGTGTCTGCTCAGCCCAGCTGCCCACGCAGCCCCAGCAGGCCCGCAGGGAGGCTCCTGGGCTGCCTTTGCCCCGGGTACCTGGCCGTCAGGTCACAGCCAGAGGCCCCCTGGCTGATGGCTGGTGCAGGACCCGCCCCCTCCTGGGACTCCCCATCCCCGTGTAATCGTCTACTCCTTCTCTGTGGCCTTAACTACTGATGGAACGCGTGCTGGGCACGGGGCCTGCTCAGAGATCTGACAAGACAGTCATGGGCAGCATATAGTGCCCCTGACCCTGGGGAGCCCGCACCCTGACTGGCAGCCCCGCCCCACCTTCAGTGGGGACAGCAGGCAAGACAAGGTTCAGTCTCCGCTCCTTCTTCTGTGTCCTTGTACTGGCAGCTCAGGTTTCCTGAGCCATGTCAGAGTCCCCCTCTGACAGTCCCAGTGAGGACAGCCCTTTGCCTGTGATGCTGGTGGGCTCCAGAGATGGATCGGTGGGAAGTGTGTCTGCTGTCAGGGTTATGCACACTTCTGCTTCTCCGCCAGGGCCGGGCGTTACAGCGTACAGCGTGCTCCCCGGCACACTCCCTGACTTGACCCTCACCGGCTAGTGAGGTTCATACAAGGACGAGGCCCAATTTTACAGATGAAGAAACTGAGGCAGGGTGAGGTTTTAGCTTAGGAAAGAGGTGTGATGGGTGGAGTCAGCGTGAGCCTCACCATCACTCAAAGCCCGTGCTTTATCCACACATCTGTGAAACACGTGGGAGCTGCTGCCTCCTCCCCCACCGGGATGCTCAGGAGTAGGAAGTGAGATTACAGGGCCCAGCTGTGGGTTGAACACAAGTTCCTCTGCTTCCCCCACTGTGTTTGCCTTACTCGGCTGAGGGACAGCGAGGCCAGTGCCAGGCCCCAGCGTGGGTGAGCGCCAGCCCAGGTGCAGCTGCCTGTGCGTGGAGACTGTCCTGGCAGGACACCCCCCCCCCCCACTAACCCACTATGTACCCAGAATACGCCGTGAACAGAGCCCTCCTCCCAGGAGTGTGCGGTTCCTGGTGTTTTAGGCCAGGGCCTTGGAGACTTAGGGCTGGGTAGGCCCTGCTGGCCACCAAGGCAACAGTGGGTGGCCCGAGGGCCGCTCCACACCTGCCCTCTAAGCAAACTTCCTGCTCCGGCTGAGCTCACCGGGCACCTGTGCCTGGCTGTGCCAGCTGTCGCCTGCTGGGTGGCCCCAGGCAGACCCAGAGCCCAGCTCCTGTCCCCAGGCCTCGAAGAGCTGGGGAGGGGCAGGGGCGTGGCCAGCAGGTGAGCAGGGCAGGGGCTGGGGGCTCTGGCTGGCTCACCTCTTTCTGAATGCTGCCGAAGCTTTTCCCAAAGTGTCTCCCCGCCCTGAATCTGTGACATGAGGATGATGGTCCCCATTTTGTAGATGAGGAGAAAGGGGCTCAGAGGTGTGAACAGGGCCCAGGTCACACAGCAATGGGACCCAGCTTACCAGCATCCGGGAGCCCTGTTCTTGGTCCTGCCCTTCCCTGCCAAGGAGGCCGGGAGCGCGGCTCTGGAGGCAAGCGCAGGCAGTCACGTGGCCGACTTCCCATACCAGGGCTGGAAGCCTGCGGGTGCTCTGAGCACCACAGCTGTGATCTGGTCAAGGAGATTTCAGTAAGCCAGGGTCTTTTTGTCTGTCTGTCTGTATGTCACGCAGCCTGTAGACACTTGGAGTCACTCCCTGTCCTTGGAACAACCAAGCAGGGCCAGGTGGCGGCAGAGGAGAGCATGTGGGAGCCCAGAGTGGGGAGTGGGAGGGGTGCGTGTGCGTGCGCGCTTGTGCACATGGGGTGGGGGGGAGTGGTAAGGAGAACAGTCTCCAAGGAGCAGCAGGATGGGGGAGGGGCACGGGGAGGGCTGTCCCTGCGGAGACAATGGAGGAGGCTTGAGGAGTGTAGTGGGCACATGTGGGGCACGGAGGGAGAGGCGGGAGGGCTGAGGTCTGCAGGGGCCTACAGGGGCTGGCTCTTGCCATGCATCAGTCATACATACGGGATACTCGGAAGCCGCCCAGGCAGGAAGGCCAGGGTGGGAAGCCTCCCCCGCCCCAGCCTCCTCCTGTTCTCTGGCACACAGTAGGTGTCTGCACGAGCCCTTGCTAACAGCCCTTGTTCTGTGTTCCCAGGACCCCAGAGGGAGTCACCATCCCCACTTATTTGGAAGCCATGCACCAACCACTGGCTGAGGGGCTGCCGACCCCACCTGTGTACCCCATGCAGGCAGACCTGAAGCACAGTGCCCCGAGAGATGCCCTGCTTGGGACCCCGCCGGCCCTGCCCCCTCCCAGCTATGAGAGCGTCGTCCTTGACCTTGACACCATTCAGGAGAGACAAGCCCTGTTCCAGGTGCTGCAGGCACAGGCTCTTAGCCGGCCCTGAAACTGGAGAAAAAAACTGCACACAGAGCCTGGTCTGCAGTGTTTGCTGCTGAGAGCTGTTTCACTTATCTATTGCTATGGAGCAAGCCACCTCCAAACTGCTGGCTTAAAATAAAGCCTATTTTAAGATGTCTCATGATCCTGTGGGTTTCTGTGCCCAGCTGGGCGGTTCTTCTGCCACCTGTGATGTCAGCAAGGCTGCAGGCATTCAGAACGTCCACGCTGGCACGCTCATGTGGCTGGCAGTTAGTGCTGGCTACCCCTAGATTTTGTGTGGATGAGAAGGAAAGGCAGAGCCAGCCCAAGGTCAGCTCAAGTTTATAACCAGATGAACGTGAACCCTGAATCCAGACCACCTGTGCATGAGCTCTACCAGGTACCATCTGAGTGGCCATGACAAGTGACTTTCTCCATCTCTGCCTCAGCGTCCTCATAGGTAAAATGGGAATTGGGAATAAGAGTGAGAGAATAGATAGAGGGGGAGAGAGAGAGAGAGAGAGAGAGAGAGAGAGAGAGATTCCATCTGCTGGTTCACTCACCAGATGGCTGCAATGGTCAGGGCTGGGCCAGGCCAAACAAAGCCAGGAGCCAGGAGCTTCTTCTCTGTCTCCCCCATGAGTGGCAGGGGTCCAAGCACTTGAGCCATCTTTTGTTGCTTCTCCCAGGTCATTAGCAGGGAGCTGGATTGGAAGCAGAGCAGCTTGGAATTGAACTGACACTTGTATGGGATGCAGGTATCGCAAGCGGCAGCTTTACATGCTAAGCCACAGCGCCACCCCCACCTCCACTTCTGAGCCAGCTGCCTGCTCACTTGCACCTGCTCACATGCAACAGACGGTGGCTCAAGTACTGGGGCTCCTGCCACCCATGTGGGAGGCCCATGGGAGACCCTGATGGAATTCTGGCTCCTGGCTTCAGCCTAGCCCGGCCCCTGCTATTGTGAACATTTGGAGAATGACCCAGTGAACAGAAAATCTCTGTGTCTCTCCCTCTCTCTGTGTTGCTCTGCCTTTCAAATAGGCAAATAAGACTTTAGAAAAAAAATTCTGGGGCAAGTGTGGGCACAGGCGTTAGATACTCCATGGGATGATTGCGTCCCCTATCAGAGTGTCTGGGTTCAAGTCCCAGCTCTGCCCTCAGTTCTCCCTTTCTGCTAATGTGTTCCCTGGTGGGCAGCAGGTGATGGCTGCCACCCATGAGGGAGAACCTGGGCTGAGTTCTGGGCTCCTGGCTTGGGTTTGGGCTAGCCCGGCTCTCGTAGAAGAATGAACCAATGGATGTGAGATCTCTCTTTCTCTCTCTGCCTCTCTAATGAGTTAATTAAAAATAAAAATTAAAGAGCCTCTCCACTACATGTGATGGCGTCCCCGCTTAACAGGCAGGGACACAGCCTCAGAGAGGCCAAGTAACAGAGCACGAAGTCAGAGCCAGTGTTTTCCTTCAGGCCTAGCCTGGTCGCAGGCCGGGCTCGTCCCAGAGTGGGGAATGGGAGGGGTGTATGTTCGAACCTCCACACCCCGTCCTGGTCTCCCAGCTTAGCAGCCAGAGTGAGCCTGTTCGAGACCAGGGGACAGCAGTCCTCAGGCCCAGGCCCAGAATGCCATAGGGTTCCCAGCGCGTGGTGCGCTGACCCCTCACCTCCACTTCTGCGCTGGGGAGAGGGCTGGTGTGGGTGGGCTCCCGCCTTGCGCTCAGCTGCGGCCTGTCTCCCAGGGTCCCGGGCACTTGTCTCTCCTCTGCCTCCAGAAACTGCTCCCCAGGGCTGGCCCCTTACCCACCAGTGGTGCTTTGCTAGCCCCCTCCCTACCAGCTCACCAAAACCCAGATCCCCTCCTGTGCCTCTCTCCCTTCCTCTCACCCCTGGCCCGTCATTGCTGCCCCTGCCACTCCCTGCTATGACCCCAGGGCAAACTGAGGTCTGGATCTGGAGTTGGAGTCCTGCTTTGGCCTTCTTAGGGTGAACCCACCAGCTCTGATTCCCAAAGGATTAATGGTGAAGCCTCCTGTCCCCAAAGTGAAGAATTTCCCTGCGGGCAGTAAGTTAATAAGTTGCAGGTGTGACGGGAAGACCGGGGACCTTTCCCACCTTCCTTTCCAGGTCAACTCATCTGTGTCCTAGCTGGCAGCCCCCAGGAGAACAGTCACTGGCTCAAGGTCACCAGCACCCTGGAGGCCCAGCCAAGGCCACAGAGCCAGTCTCCAGCTGGGTGAGCCTCTGTACCCTCTGAGCCGCCCTGTTCTCGCTGTGAGTGAGCGGGTGGGTCCCCGTGCCCATTGCCAGGGCGCCTGGCTGAGGGGCTGCATGAGGGCCAGGTCTGCCACTCTTCAGCCTGCAGCAGGCACCGCTTGGCTTCCTGGTGTCTTTTGTTCCTCCTGGCAAGGCTGGCGCATCCCTTCACCTGCCATCCAGTGCCAGCCAGCAGGGCCTTGGGTGTCAGGGACCCTGGGAACCCAACCCTGGGAGCACGGGGCCTCTCTCACGCTTTCCCGGGCCCCTCCCAGTCATAAATCTCCCTGGCTGCTCCCCCAGCTGCTGATGACTGCTCATCTGCTCTTTCTCTGATGGCAAAGATCAAGTCTGACTCAGCTTTCCCATATGAGCTGTGCTGTGACGCGTGTTTGCTATGAGTCCTGTAGGAACACACATTGCTATTTTAATCATGATTAATATGGCTATGTTTGATAACAGCAATGCCATTTTCAGCTTTTTTTTAAAGACTTATTTATTTGAGAGGCAGAGAGACAGAGAGATGAAGAAACCGTCCATCCACTGGTTCACTCTTTAAATGGCTGCAATGGCCAGGCTTGGGCCAGGTTGAAGCCAGGAACAAGGAGCTTCATCCAGTCTCCCAGTGAGTGGCAGGAGCCCAGGCACTCGGACCATCACCTGCTGCCTTCCCAGGCACATTAGCAGGGAGTGACATCAGAAGCAGAGCAGAAGGGGCTCTAACTGGTGCTCATATTGGATGCCAGCGTTGCTGGCGGTGGCTTAACCCACCATGTCATAACGTGGGATCTGCTTTCTTAAAAATAACCGTGGGGGCCGGCATTGTGGCATAGTGGGTAAAGCTGCCACTTGCAGTGCTGGCATCCCATATGGGTGCTGGTTCAAGTCCTGGCTGCTCCACTTTTGCTCCAGCTCCTTGCTAATGGCCTGGGGAAAGCGGTGAAAGATGGCCCAAGTAAATAGGCCCCCCCCCCGCACCCACATAGGAGACCTGGAAGAAACTCCCGGTTCTTGGCTTCAGCCTGGCCTCTCTTTCTTTCTTTCTTTCTTTCTTTCTTTCTTTCTTTCTTTCTTTCTTTCTTTCTTTCTTTCTTTCTTTCTTTCCTTCCTTCCTTCCTTCCTTCCTTCCTTCCTTCCTTCCTTCCTTCCTTCCTTATTTGACAGGTAGAGTTAGACAGTGAGAGAGAGAGACAGAGAGAAAGGTCCTCCTTCCGTTGGTTCACCCCCCAAATGGCCACCACGGCCAGTGCTGCACCGATCTGAAGCCAGAAGCCAGGTGCTTCCTCCTGGTCTCCCATGCGGGTGCAGGCGCCCAATCACCTGGGCCATCCTCCACTGCACTCCTGGGCCACAGCAGAGAGCTGGACCAGAAGAGGAGCAGCCGGGACTAGAATCCAGCGCTCATATGGGATGCTGGTGCTGCAGGCAGAGGATTAACAAAGTGAGCCACGGTGCCGGCCCCTCTGCCTTTCAAATAAATAAAATAAATCTTAACAACAACAACAACAAAAAAGCCGGCACCGCAGCTCACTAGGCTAATCCTCCGCCTTGCGGTGCCGGCACATCAGGTTCTAGTCCTGGTCAGGGCACCGGATTCTGTCTTGGTTGCCCCTCTTCCAGGCCAGCTCTCTGCTGTGGCCAGGGAGTGCAATGGAGGATGGCCCAAGTGCTTGGGCCCTTCACCCCATGGGAGACCAGGACAAGTACCTGGCTCCTGCCATCGGATCAGCGCGGTGCGCCGGCCGCAGTGCGCCGGCCGCGGTGGCCATTGGAGGGTGAACCAATGGCAAAGGAAGACCTTTCTCTCATCTCTCTCTCTCACTGTCCACTCTGCCTGTCAAAAAAAAAAAAAAAAAACCAAAAAACAAAAAACAAAACAAAAAAAAACCACCTTATTTACTTGAAAGGCAGAGAGAGAGAGAGTGCTTCCCTCTGATGGTTCACTCTCCAAATGTTCCCAACATCCAGGACTAGGCTAGACCAGGCCAAAATCAGGAACCTGGAACTCCATCAGGGTCCCCCACGTGGGTGCAGGGGCCCAGGCACTTGGCCATCCTCCACTGCCTTCCCAGGCCACAGCAGGGAGCTGGATGGGCAGCAGTGCGGCAGGGACTGGAGTCGGGCACTCGGACGTGGGATGCGGGCGTCCCAGGCAGCACCCGAAACCTGCCCTTTGAGCTCTTTCTTACGACACAGCCGTCCTGAGCCAGGTGCTGCCCGACACCCAGGGGCCCAATCCTGGACCCCGGCTGACTGGGAGCCACCGTGGTGGCTGTGGAAATGAGATCCTTTGGGCTGGGCCTTCACCCTGTAAGGCTGACGCGTGCCAGCTGCGGTGAGACACGCTCTGGGCAGCAAACCCCGTGCCTTCTCGCTCGCTGCCTCTTGAGCCCCTGCTCAGCTGTGACGCCACTTGGCAAGAATTTGCCAGAGGCTCTGCTGGAGCCAGCAGCCCTCTACGCCCTTGACATAGCTGCTGCCGGCTCCACGGCAGCCAGAACCAGTGGAAGTCACCTGCAAGGGGCGAGTTCTCCCGGGCCTTCTGGAAAATTCCCCTGTGGACGCACGGCGTTTGGTTCACCCAGCGCTTGAGTGACTTTTTTATTTTAATATTTATTTATTTATTTGAGAAGCAGAGTTACAGACTGTGAGAGGGCGAGACAGAGAGCGAGATCTTCCATCTACTGGTTTACTCCCCAACTGGCCGCAACGGCCGGAGCTGTGCTGATCCAAAGCCAGGAGCCAGGAGCTTCTTCCAGGTCTCCCACGTGGGTGCAGGGGCCCAAGGACTTGGGCCATCTTTTACTGCTTTCCCAGGCCACAGCAGAGAGCTGGATTGGAAGTGGGGCAGCCGGGACTCGATCCGGTGCCCATGTGAGATGCCAGCACCGTCCCCCCGGTGTCGCGGTCTGCACAGGTTCCCTGTTGGCATCCGACACGTGGCCAGTCCCCTTGCACAACCCCAGGAGGTTTCCCGTGGCTCCGCCCCAGCCTCCCTCTCCTTCCTCCATGTACTCCCTCCTCAGCCCCTCCCTGCTTACAAACAGCATCCAGAGCCCGCCCTGTTCTCACCCCTGGGAATCCAGCAGTGAGCGCAGAGGGCCCAGCCCCTGGGCACTTGGGCTCCCATGGCAGGAGACAGATAAATCTGAGACGGCATGAATGAGCAGCGTGCGTGGTGTCATGGTGGGGCTGAGTACTGTGGTGAAAGATGGATTGGAAAGGGGACAGGCAGCCCTTCCGGGTCGGGGTTCTGGATGCTCAGAGCAAGCGCAGGTCCTCCGTGTGAAGGGGGTGTGTGAGCCTGGAGGGAGGGGGCCACGCAGACATCTGGAGGAAGAGCACTCGGGGCAGCCAGAGAGCAGGTGCAAAGACCCTGAGGTGACTTCCTGGGGCAAGGACGGAAGCGGAGGTCAGCTAGAGAAAGATGACAGGGGCTCAGACCAGGGTGACAACGGTGAGGGCATCCTTCCGTCTAGGAGATGGAGCCCACAGGAGGTGGGGGTGAGAGGGAGATGAGCACGGTGGGCAGTCTGGGAACTCACGGGAGGGTGGTGTTGACTTGGGGCTGCAGGCCTGAAGAGCAGCCTGTGTCTGGCATCCAGCATTGTCTGCAGCTGCGTGTCCATGGGAACTTGCCTCAGTGCTTTGCACATGCTGGTCCCTTTGCTGGAACACCTCCCCTGCCATGTCAGAATTCCAGTTGCCTCACCCCCTACCCCAGGCTATCCCTCATGCTGGGCCTCACAGTCTCTGCCTTTCCATATGGTTCCCAGAAGGCAGGCTCCAGGGCAGCAGTTCTTGGAGTGGGATGCTTATCAGAACGTCTTACACCTGTGTCTCCAAGGTAAGGGGTCGCCCAGAGGGGGCTGGGCACCTGGTTAGAGTTCTAGCTCTGTTATGTACAGGTTCTGCCTTGGGTCGCTCACCTTGGCTTTGCCGGCCTCAGATTCTGCATCTGTCAAATGGGTGTTTCCCCGCCTTGTTGTGTCTCCGGGTCTTGTGGGGTTAGTTCCTGCCCCAGCAACCCGAATTCCTTCAGCCAGGAAGAAAACAGTGGCTAGTGCGCCCTCTGCTGGAAGACGATGGACAGCTCCCCCACTTCGCACCCCTCGGGGACTGGGCGGGTGAGGAAGGTCAAAGGCAGAGGCAGGGGCAGACCAAGGGAGCGGGCACCGCCTGCCGACCACGTGTCCAGCGCAGGGTCCCCACGCTGTCTGGTGTCGTCCTCGTCACCCCCTGGGGGAGGGCAGACCCTTTTCGCTGAGCACCCACTGTTCCTCTCGTTTAAGAGGAGAAAGGACCAGAAAAGAGGCAAAGAAGGTGGGTGACCGCGAGCCTCTCAGGAATGGCTGGAGCCCGGAGCCGTCTACACCGCGTTCCCGCCCAGCCACCGATTCAGTTTCGGGATGCCCTGCACCACGGCTTGCGGGTCCCTGGGCTCGGTGAAGTGGGGGGTGCGGGGCAGCAGGGCTGCCCAGTGCTTGCTGACGGCCGCCAGTGGGCGCAAGAAGGCGCTGGGCGGGGTAGGCCGAGTGCCCTCTGGGCCTCGGTGTCCGTTTCTGAGAGGGGCAGCAGCCTCTACAGAAGAGAAGTGGTGCCCTGGAGACGGGCGCCGCGACTCAGCACAGGTTACACGCGTTCCACCGCGTCTCTTCCCTGCACCACGCCCACCCCCATCCGCAGGTGACAAAACCCAAGAACGGGGGACCTGGACGTGCTGCAGTCGCCCTAGGCTGGGCTGGTGGGCGTGAGCGCGGGAGACCGGGTCTGTAGGCCTGGGTGGGGGGCGGCTGAGCAGGTGGGAGCAGGCAGGGGAGCAAACAGGACACCCCAGGGTGACGGGTCAGGGAGCCACGGAGAGCCTTGCCTCTCACAGCAACAGCTTCACCCTGCACTCCAGCCAGTGTGCGGGACACCCGGCGATGGGGTGCCCCGCACTTCCCTGGCTTCCTATACAGCCATCTGCCGGCTCCCGTCGGCCCGTCCCTGGGTCTGGAATCGGCTGGTAGAATGTCCCCAGGATTAAGGCATCCTGGCTAGGCTGGGGGAAACTGAGGAGATGGCTGTCACTCGCTCACACTCCCGGGGACGATAATTTGTCACAGCCTGTGTTTTGGGGGCAGGGGGAAGCTCATGGCAAGCAGGTCTGGGCAGTGCCCAGAGTGTGGGGGAGGAAGAGGAAGCGGGGAAGCCAGGCCCCGGGGGACAGCTGCCGTTCTCAGAGGTGCTGAAGGCTGAATGACCCTTATCCAGAATGCCTGGGCCTGCTCGGTGGCTCAGCGGGTTGGGCCACTGCCCGCCATGCAGGCCTCCCATATGGGCAATGGTTCGAGTCCCAGCTGCCCCACTTGTGATCCAGCTCCCTACTGATGTGCTTGGGAAAGCAGCAGAAGATGGCCCAAGTGCTTGGGCCCCTGGGACCCATGCAGGACTCCAAGATGGAGTTCCTGGCTCCTGGCTCAGCCTGGCCCAGCACCAGCTGATGTGGCCATTTGGGGAGTGAACCAGCAAATGGGAGATCTCTTTCTCTCCATCTCTTCCTCTTTCTCTGTAACTCTGCCTTTCAAATAAATACATAAGTCTTAAAACAAAAAAGGTTGGGACCAGAAATATTTAGGATTGGGGGTTTGGGGAGGCAGGGGGAGGACCTGGAGATACTTGCCATATACATACTGAGACATCTTGGGGATGGGAGCCCAGTCTAAGCATACAATTCTTCTGTTTCATATCCATCTTGTACACATCGCCGGCAAGTGATGCTACAGGGCATCTTCAGTAACTTTGCACATGAGCCACAATTTCATGCTGTGGAATGTTCTACTGTGATATCAGATCAGCCCTCAAAGCCTTTCAGATTCTGGGGCATCTTGGATTTTTATGAGCATTACTTTCCCGAGGAGGAAGCCGAGGAGACACAGGCAGGTCACCTAGTCTAGTGCACGTGGCGCCCCCTGGTGGAGGAGCCAGGCCCCGGCGTGGACAGTTCCCCTTGGGGTCAAACCCCTGCGGTTAACCCTCTGGCTCCAGCAGAGCAGTCTCCCACCAGGGCTGGCCGCTGCCCCCACGACCCAGTCCCCGCTGTGCTGGCGTCTCTCCTCGTGTGACTTGGGCGAGTGGCCCCTCTGTGCCTCAGTGTCCTCACCTGCAGAGTAGGGAGCGCGGCACCTGCCCCACGGGGCTCCCTCCAGCACGTCACTGTGTTTGCATGTGTGCTGTGCTCACGGCCACCGCTCCGTAACTAGGGGTCACCATTCCTGCAGCCCCGGGGGCCACATGCCCTTGAAAAGCTGAGTTGGTCAGGATTCCAAAATGCCAGCCCGCGGGCTCCCGGCTCCCAGCTCCCAGCTGCAGACCTGTGTGCAGCTGGAAGGTGTGGGGCCAGCCACTCAGCCAGTTCAGCTCCACTCTAGGCAAATGAGGTGATGTCAAAGCCTTGGCTGGGGCCCAGCCCCAGTGACCTCCCCCGCCCCTCCCCTGTGTCCTGGCTCACGCATATTCACACACACACACTCCAGGCGAGCGGGGCCCAAGGTGAGGAGGGAGAGCGGTGGATGGTGCCCAGGGCCACAGACCCGTGCCTCCTCTGGCCCTCTTGAGCTTGGGGGTCCGGCACTGCAGCAGGGCCCGAAGGCACCCTGAGCTCCCTGGGCTCCCTGGGACTGGAAGCCTTGGTCGGCAGTGGTTCAGAGCGGCGCCTCTCCCTGCACGGTGTCTGCACCTGCACGGCGTCTGCACGGCATTGTCCGGGTCCCCTCTGCGGGCGTGCACAGGCCAGGCCCTGGCCGGGCAGCCATGGCAGACGAGAAGACCTTCCGCATCGGCTTCATCGTGCTGGGGCTTTTCCTGCTCTCCCTTGGCACCTTCCTCCTGAGCCACGATCGGCCCCAGGTCTACGGCACCTTCTACGCCATGGGCGGCGTCATGGTGATTGGGGGCGTCGTCTGGAGCATGTGCCAGTGCTACCCGAAGGTAGGCGGCGGCGGGGCTGGGTGGGGCCAGGTCAGCTGGGCTGGGCCTGGGGCTCTGGCTTCTGGGAACAGGGACCAGAGGGCTGGTGGCTAGGCCTCGGCTCCCCTATCAGCCTTCAGCCTCCAGTAGTCTCATGCTTCCCATTTCACTCCCTGTGTTCTTTTCTCTGCTCTTCTGATTGCCCCTTTGTCCAGCTATCATGCACCCAGCCATCCACTCAGCCAACCAGCCACCCATCCATCTCAACCCATCCATCCACCATCATCCACCCAGCCACCCAACCAGCCATCTACCCGTCCATCCATTCACCCGTCCACCTGTCCACCCGTCCACCCATCCATCCCCTCATCCATCCAGCCAGCACACAGTGTAGTTGATCATGGGCTCCGATTAAGAAGCCCTGAACCAGACACTGAGGCACAGCCATGGCCCGTGTGCTTGCAGCAGAATTCCCATGTGCCTACCACCCACCGGGCACTCCTGGGTTCATGGCCCCTTCTGTAGTCCCATTTCACAGTACAGAAGCCCAAGGCTCTCGGAGGTGAGGTTCCATAGCTTTATCTTCCCGAGTCTGACTGCGTTCCTAGCCTCGTGGGTAACCTGGGGTGGGGAGAGCATTGGTTTGGGAGTCCCGGATTCTAATCTCAGTTCTCTGTGTGACTTGTTTTTCTGAGGTTCAGTTTTGTCACCTGTGAAATGGGACCTAAGCCTGTCTTTGTGCATGGCCTCGGGGTTCTCGTGGGGCTCCGAGAAGCGATGGGATGGAGGAATCTGGGCACACTACAGCGTGTGACAGCTGGGTGGAGGGCTGCTGTGGTGACCGTAGTCCACCTCCTGATAGCCTGGGATGGACAGTTGGGAGCTGAGATTTTGGGAGGCGCTTCCGAGCTCACACAGGTGCCCAGAGGCAGGTGGAGACGGGAGAGAAACATGCATCCAGCTTGGCCTCTGTCTCGAAACTGCCTGGGAGTCCCTACCCACGCCTCTTCGCTCTGTGAGCCCCATTTCCCCCCCTCCAGGGCTCTAGACAGGTCACCCGGCACCCCAGGGCCCTCCTCTCCTCCCGCCTGGGCAGCTGTGCTCAGGGGCTCAGGGAGGAGGAAGGAGGCTCCCGCCCTGGCCCAGGCTCTTTCTCCCCAGCCCCGCCCCCTCCGTGGGCGAGCCCGGTGCTGGGGCGGCCTGGGCTGGTTTCAGTCATTTACTGAGCAGTTTACAGTCAACTCGCCTCTGTGTGTGCGATGCCCTCAGCAGAGGTCACCTCGGGAAGAGGTCCTGGGGCCTGCGCCACCGGCATCACCACTGCCACGTTGCCCATGCCATCCCTGTTCCCTGGGGGAGGGCGAGGGGCTGGCGGGTGGGGAGGGAAGCACCTCCTGCCAGCCTCCTGGACCAGCGGGGGCTCTGGTGTGGTGGCCCTGAGCGCGGTGGCTGTTGGGGTGAGGCCGGCCCAGGGCAGAGCAGGCCTATTGCTGGGTATTAATGAGTAACTGTTGACAGCTTCACGCGCTCCTGTGCTGGGGACGCAGCGTGGGGTTGGGGGTGCAGAGAACAGCACACATTTCAAGCCCTGCCCCCTCCCTCACAGCTCATTCCTGTGACCTTGGCCAAGGGACCCCTCCCTCTCCCCCTCCCCCTGCCAGGATTCAGGCGGGACAGCAGAAGGAGGCTGGCATGACGCCTGGCAGGGAACGGATGCAGAGGCTCCGTTCTCAGGACTGGTGTTGGCGGTGCCCGGGGCGGGGAGCTGCACGCCGGTGTGTTACAAGGACCCTGGCTGTGAGAGCCGGCACAGGTCCACTGCAACCAGGGAGGGAGAGAGGGCATGGTAAGCCATGGCATGGTCCTTGGGCTGGGCCATGGTAGCCGACCCCACCCCCTGCTCTCAATGCCTGACCAGGGAAGGCTTCAGGAATGGGAATTTTCTGGACTGGAAGAAACAGAAACAAACAGGAATAGAGCCAGCCGTCAGGACATGGGGGAGGTGCAGCTGTGCCTGCTCTGGGGGAGCTGGGAGTCTGCTGGGGGAGCAAGGAGGCTTTCCAGAGGTGAGCTGGGCTTTGCAGGTTAAATAGGAGTTTGCCTGACAGAGAAGATGGGGAAAGACTGCCAGGCAGAGGAACAGCGTGGCCCAAGCCACGTGGCACAGGGATAAGGCAGGTGGGACGACGTGGCCCAGGACAAGGTGGAGTGAGGGGCTCAGCTCCGGGGCCTGGGATGCTGGGCTGATGGGACAGGAGAGTGCGTGCCCGCTCTGCTGACTGAGTGACTAGCTCATGGGCGGGCTGTGCCCGTGAGGCTCCTTTCTGGCACAGGTGGGAGGGGCTGCTCGGGGGCTAAGGCAGAGGCAGAGTGAGGGCTGCCGGAACCAGGGCACTTCTAGGTCTTCACACACTGGGTGCCGGTGGAGGCTGGAGACAGCACCCGCGCACCCCTCTAGGTGCTCTCGCTGGCTTCCCAAGCAGAGCCGTACCGATCTGGTGGTCAGCTGGGGCTCAGGACCACGGCAGGGACCCTCCTGAGGGGAGTGGTTGGGGGTGCTGAGCCCCTGGCTGAGATGGGCAGGGAAGCTGGGAGAAGAGGCAGGAGTGTCGGGAGAGCAGGGCCACGCCCCGACCAGCTTCAGTCTGCCCACAAAGAGCCCGTCACTCTGCTGGGGCCCAGGACCAGGACCTGGCTGGCAGCTACAGGCTCCATCCTCTGTGTGAGCCTCCCTGCCTCTGGGAACCACTCGTGCTCTGCGTGAGCGCAGACTGTGTAGTCTCCTGCCAGGAACTCTGCCAGGGCTCCCCACTGCTTCTGCACTTGATCTTAGCCAAAAGGCCGAGAAGTGATCTCCTCCACTGCTTCTGGACGAAGGCTGAGCTTTTTAGGCTCAGGCTCAGGGGTTTCTGTGTTTTGATTCCTAGTGATGATAATGACGATGATGAGGAGGAGAAGGGTGATGGTGATGGTGATGGTGATGGTGATGGTGATGGTGAGGATGGTGATGGTGGTGGTGATGGTGAAGAGGGTGATGATGAGGAGGGTGATGGTGATGGTGAGGAGGGTAATGGTGATGGTGATGGTGAGGATGGTGATGGTGAGGATGGTGATGGTGAGGATGGTGATGGTGAGGAGGGTGACGGTGATGGTGATGGTGAGGATGGTGATGGTTGTGACGGCCTGCAGCACAAAAACAGAGTGGGAATGGGGACAAGGACGCAAAGAATGGAGCCAAGACAAATCCTGATCAAGGCTGGTTTATTCAACAAACCCAGCAGTATTTAAACATGACCAGTTGTATACAAGAAGGCACACAAAAGATTTACATATGTAAAAGACTTTTTGGGGTTACAAAGAGTTCCCGACAAGGTTCTTCTCCTTGACAGATCATAAAATGTTATCAATCATTGACTACAAGGGTACAATAAAACACTTAAGGGATAAATGCAGGTTTCAAGCCTGATTGATTATCTACATAGGTCTCTTGTAAGAAGTGTAACAGTGAGATAAGGTTCTTCCTGCCTCTTCCTGGAACCTCCTTAGCCTTTTGTCTGTGCCAAGATGTCTCCATCCATATGTTTACACGTAAACAAAAAGGGCGACTGGCTGCCCACAGATGATGATGGTGAGGAGTGTGATGGTGATGGTGAGGGTGAGGAGGGTGATGGTGATGGTGAGGTGGTGATGGTGATGGTGATGGTGATGGTGAGGTGGTGATGGTGATGGTGATGGTGAGGTGGTGATGGTGATGGTGAGGAGAGTGATGGTGATGGTGAGGCGGTGATGGTGATGTGATGGTGATGGTGAGGAGGGTGATGATGATGGTGAGGGTGAGGAGGGTGATGGTGATGGTGAGGTGGTGATGGTGATAGTGAGGTGGTGATGGTGATGGTGAGGAGGGTGTAAGTGATGGTGATGTGATGGTGATGGTGAGGTGGTGATGGTGATGTGATGGTGATGGTGAGGAGGGTGATGATGATGGTGAGGGTGAGGAGGGTGATGGTGATGGTGAGGAGGGTGATAATGATGGTGAGGGTGAGGTGGGTGATGGTGATGGTGAGGTGGTGATGGTGATGGTGAGGTGGTGATGGTGATGGTGAGGAGGGTGATGGTGATGGTGAGGAGGTTGATGGTGATGGTGAGGGTGAGGAGGGTGATGGTGATGGTGATGTGAGGTGGTGATGGTGATGGTGAGGTGGTGATGGTGAGGGTGAGGAGGGTGATAATGATGGTGAGGGTGAGGAGGGTGATGGTGATGGTGATGTGAGGTGGTGATGGTGATGGTGAGGATGGTGATGGTGATGGTGAGGAGGTTGATGGTGATGGTGATGGTGAGGAGAGTGATGGTGATGGTGATGTGAGGTGGTGATGGTGATGGTGAGGGTGAGGAGGGTGATGGTGATGGTGAGGTGGTGATGGTGATGGTGATGGTGACGGTGACGGTGATGGTGATAGTGAGGAGGGTAATGGTGATGGTGAGGGTGAGGAGGGTGATGGTGATGGTGAGGTGGTGATGGTGATGGTGATGGTGACGGTGATGGTGATAGTGAGGAGGGTAATGGTGAGGGTGAGGGTGAGGAGGGTGATGGTGAGGGTGAGGAGGGTGATGGTGATGGTGATGTGAGGTGGTGATGGTGATGGTGAGGGTGAGGAGGGTGATGGTGATGGTGAGGTGGTGATGGTGATGGTGATGGTGACGGTGATGGTGATAGTGAGGAGGGTAATGGTGAGGGTGAGGGTGAGGAGGGTGATGGTGAGGGTGAGGAGGGTGATGGTGATAGGTGGTGATGGTGATGGTGAGGGTGAGGAGGGTGATGATGATGGTGATGGTGAGGAGTGTGATGGTGATGGTGAGGTGGTGATGGTGATTGTGAGGAGGCTGATGGTGAGGTGGTGATGGTGATGGTGATGGTGAGGATGATGGTGATGGTGATGGTGATGCCGATGGTGAGGATGCTAACGGAGGTGGTGGTGATGGTGATGACGGGGATGATGGTGATGATAGGGATGGGGATGGTGATGATGGTGAGTGACTGGGCCAGGAGGTAATGAGGCAAAGAGAAAGGTATCTTCTAGAAGCACAGAGCCAGCAGGCATCAGGGCATGCTGATGGGGTGGAAGGTGCCCAGGTCCCTGCTGGAGTTCAGACGTGGGGGGGCTCACCCTCCCCCTACCCCCATCTTGGCTCCACCCGTTGGGATAGAGCTCCCTGGAGCAGATGCGTAGCCTCTCGATGCCGTCACAGGCAGGGGCAGCGCGGGCGCCGTTTATGGACCAGGGACGGAACAGTGGGTTCTCATCAGGGAACAGTGGGCTCTCATCCACGAAACAAACGTGGAGCTGAGGAGAGCAGGACTCAGAGAAGCCAGGTGACTTGATCTTCAGAGGCCATGAGTCCTGACTTACGGAGCAGTTAGCAGGGATCAGCGCCGGGCTGGGGCTGCCCCTGGGATCCTACAGCAACCCAGGAGACAGGCTTAACTGGCCCGCTTTAAAAACTATAGTAAAATGTGCTTAAATTTACTGTCTTTTTTTTTAAGTTTTATTTATTTATTTGAGAGTCAGAGTTAAAGAGAAAGAATCTTCCATCTACTAATTCACTCTCCAGATGGCTGCAATGGCCAGGACTAAGCCAGGTCGAAGCCCGGAGCCAGGAGCTTCCTCCAGGTCTCCCACATGGGTGCAAGGGCCCAAGCACTTGAGTTATCCTTTGCTGCTTTTCCCAGGCCAATAGCAGGGAGCTGGATTGGAAGTGGAGCAGCCGGGACTTGAACTGGCGCCTACATGGGATGCCGGCACCACAGGTGGTGGCCTGTCTTAACCACATTAAATGTTCAGTGGGACTATACACGTTCACGTGACTGTGCCACCAATCTCCAGGACTCTTCACCTTGTGAAACTTGAACTCTGCCCCATGCCCCGTTCCCCACCCCCTCCTCCAATTCCACTGTCTCTCCTATAGGGCCCTTGTAGAGTGGAGCTATACAGCTGTTTGTCTTTTTGTGGCTGGCCTGTTTCGCTCAGCATAATGTCCTCAAGGTCCATCCGTGTCACGGGTGTGGGAGCGGCCCCTCCTTGCTGGGCTCATGGTCCTCCATGGGGTGGAGACAGCAGCATGCGCTGGACGTGGGGGCTGCTCGCACCTGTCGGCTACTGTGGCTAGCGCTGCTCTGAATACAGCTGTGCAAGTGCCTCTTGGCAGCTGGCCCCATCCCACAGAGAGCCGGAGGGGCTCCGGGAGGAGGGCCGAGCTGCCGGGGCCCACGGTGAGGACCTGGCCGAGAAAGGGGCCTCACCCTGTACCCCAGGCCCCAAGGGCAGGGCTCCTTCTGCCTGCTCTCACTGCCTCCCCCTCCACCACCCCCTGCCCAGTCCTTGGTGCTGCACGGGTGGGTCCACCCAGATCCTGGGACAGGGACTGGTGGGCGCAGCAGCCGCCATGCACTTCTCTGTTCCCACTGCAGCCCCTGGGCCAAGAAGCCCTTGAGAGTGGCCTGCCTCCCACTCGTTCTCCATGAATGCAGGCAGGTGCTAGGTACCGGGAAATGACAAGATGTGAGCTCAAGGGGAGGAGTCTGTGTCTTCCACTTGCTGCTGCCCACCAGTGCACCCAGCAGGTGCTCAATACATGCTGGCTGAGTGAAGAAGAAGGAGGCAGAGCCTGAGCAGGAGCCCCGAGATGCGCCCACCCCCTGGTGCTGGGCAGCCCTGAGCAGACCCCTCCCCCGTGGAAGAGCGAGGCCCAGCTGTGTGGAGGGGGTCGCTAGCACCCCAGGGGAGCAGCACCCAGGCTTGCAGGGGCAGCAGGCCCTTCCCAGGCCCACTGCACACAGGCTGCCTCCCTCTGCCCTACAGATCACCTTTGTCCCCGCCGACTCCGACTTCCAAGGCATCATGTCCCCGAAAGCCCTGGGCCTGCTGGACAATGGGCTTGCAGTGGAGATGAAGAGGTAGGCGGCCGCCCCCCGCGGGCTGGGTGGTCTCCCCCGCGGGAGGGAGGGGGCGGAGAGAGGGGTGGCCGCGTCTCCTCCCCCCGGCCCAGCTCCTGGCCCTGCCTCCCTCTCCCTGAGAAGGTACTCTTAGGAATCGGGCATGGATTCGAGCTGTCTTCACCCACACCGCACCTCTGTGCTGATTCGGGGGACACCACAGAAACACTGACCACACAGCCAGACTTGGGGTCAGGCCCAAGCTCTGCCCTTCACTTACTCACTTAGGGGGGCCTTGGCCTCCTCGTCCATGAAATGGGTACAGCAAAGCCCTCAAGGCTTTCTTGAGTCTTGGGGAGAGCACGCACCCAGAGCAGACAGGGCCAGGGCGAACACTGGTGCCTGTAGGGTGAGGGCCCACAGCCCCCAGCCGGTGGTCTCTCCCACTGTGTCTGTGCCTCCTCCCCAGCCCCCAGGCCCCCTACGTCAGGCTGTGGGAGGAAGCCGCCTACGACCAGAGCCTGCCTGACTTCAGCCGCATCCAGATGAAGGTCATGAGCTATAGCGAGGACCCCCGGCCTCTGCTGGCCTCCGAGCCGGCTCAGCTGAAGCCTGCAAGCAGTGACGACAGAGGAGGCCTGGGCCCCCGAGACGCTCAGTCCTGGGTGGAGGCCGCCGTGGTCGTCCACCGAGGCTCGGACGAGAAGGAGGGAGGAAGGACCCCAAGCCAGAGCAGGCCTGGGTGAGTGCCGGGGGCGGCAGGCCTGCTGCCCGGCTCCTGCATAAAGCAGGAGACGGTTGAGAGGCCACGGAGGTGGGGGGAGTGGGGCCTACTGGGAGGAAGGGGAGGGCGGTGGAGGGTGCGGAGCCCCTGGGGCAGCAGGTGCAGCCGTAGAATGGGTATGGACTTCGGGGTCAGATGGACCTGGGTTCCAACACCGGCTGCTTTGCTGTGTAACCTGACAAGTTTCTCCCCTCCCAGCCTCAGTTTCCCGGTGTTGGGATACTCATTGCTGTCACCTAGGGTTGTTGTGAGCACCAGGGCTATGCAGGGCTATGCTCCTTGCTGGGAGCAGCCAGAGGCCCTGCGTTCACACGTTCACATCCTGCCTCTGCTGCTCACCTGCTGTGCGGCCCCGGGCATCCTTGGCCTCATTTTCTTGTGAACTGAGCTCCCGGGTCGTCCGTTTATTCATTCCTTCAAAATCCCTGGCCCCTACCCTGTTCCAGGCCTTGGTCGGCCTCCAGCCTCCAGAAACTCCCTGTGTGATGCAGGAGGTGGACAAGGGACCCGGAGGAGACCCCAGTGTGCCTGGGGCTGTGAGAGGCCCGAGGAGGAGATCCAATGGTTGGAGGCAGGCAGGAGTGACCCGGTGGGAAACAACATAGCAAGAGCCCAGTTTCTTGAGTACCTCCTCGGTGCCAGGCATTGTGCAGAGAGCTCTGCACGGATTATTTGCTGTAACTCAGAAACAAGCAGAGAAGTGAGTGCTGTTACTCCCCCACTTTACAGGGAAGCAAACTGAGGCGAGAGAGGTGAACTGTCCCACCCCAGGCCTTGCAGCCAGCAGCTGGGAGCTGGACCCAGGCAGTCTGGCTCAGAGCTACCCTCGTCCTCGCTGTCTTTGCCCCCTGCAGCCCCCCGGCCTGTCCCCAGGGCCCTGCACCCTTGGCCTCCTTCCAAGATGACCTAGAAGTGGGCTCCAGCGAGGGCAGCAGCCCCAGGCCATCTCCAGCCAACGGGGAGGAGCCTCCGCCTCCACCAGGGGAGCCCTGGGCCTGCAGGAGCCCGCCCGACCGCTTCCACGACTTCGCCCTGATTGATGAGGTGCCCACGTCGGAGGACGCGCCCCTAGAGGGGCAGCAGCAGGAGGCAGCCCTGTCCAACCACTGGCCGCGCGGCCTGAGGACGAGGGAGGACGCGAAGGCGGCTTCGGACGCAGGCGCTGAAGAGCCCGAGGAGGAAGAGGAGGACTTGTACTACGGACTGCCCGACAGCCCTGGGGACCCCCTCCCAGACAAGGAACTGGGCTTTGAGCCCGATGCGCAGGGCTGAGGCGGTGCTGCTCCCTGGTCTCCAGCCTGGCCCCACTGTGGAGACCCGGGCCACCTCACAGGGCCTCAGCTTGCCAACCTGCAAAATGGGGTTGGCTGGAGATTCAAAAGAGACAGGGGACAGCATGTACTTTGAGAGCCTGTGGCGCTACGCATGGGGAGGGGCTGGGTGCTGTCAGGGGCCATGGCTCTTTCCCTGTTTGGTTTTCTTTGGCAAAACTTTGAAGGTAAAATATGCTTTGCTGAGAATATTTGCAGCCACTGGGGCCCTCAAAAACCTTTTCTGCTTCCCCCTAAAGCTGGCCCCCGGCCAGGACCCCTCCTTGGTGCTCTCCCTGAGTGCCCCATCCCTGGTGGGGCCCCTCACGCTTCCCATTCCTGTGGAGTCATAACCTGGAAGACACCCCAAACTGTCCCCACCCAGACAAATCACGCCTCCCCCCCGCCCAGGCCCTTCTGTGGCTCCCATGCACCTGCTGTGACTGACCCCTGCTGACTGCCCCCCCTTCATCCCTGGGCAGCCCCTCCCCCAGCCCCGGCCTCCCAGACCTGGTCTCTGTTGGGACAGCTGGGCCTCCTTGTCTGTTTGCCAAAGGGGAGCTCCTTTGCCAAAGGGGCGACCCTGCAGACAGGACCCTCTGAAAGCTTTTCCTGATGACACTGTCTCCTGGAACAAGGTGCCTGCCCTGCGGCCAGCCAGAGTTGGGGGGGGGGTGCAGCCACCTGCAGGCTGGGTCTCCCTCCGCCCTCCCCCAGGCTTTGGCTTCTCCCACCTTCCAACTTCCTATTGGCCCAGAGCAGCCCACCCGCACCTGTAGCGGGCATTTCCTGGGCTTGCCAGCCTGGGTGAAGTCAAGCTCCCCGGCTCGCTTCTGTTGGGACCAGGTGGCATTTTCAGGAGCTTCTGCGATGCGCCCGACGCTCGGCTGCCATCCCCGCAGGGAAAGAGCCTTGGAGGGCCCAGCGGGTTCTCCCCTCCCTATGACGACAGCGCACAGTCCCGAGGCCGGGCGGGCTCTTTGTAAGTCAGGAAGCCAAGTGCACGGAAGAAGGCGAGGTGAGAGCAGAGCAGCAGAAGACGGGTCCTCCCGGTGAGGGTGCAGCTGGGGAGCAGCCACAGCACCATCGCGACCAGCCGGAGCTCTGCGCTCAGCCGCCTCCGCCTCCGCAGCGAGGGCGCCAGGAGTCCCGGACCCGCGCGGTCCCTCTGCGCACCACCCTTCTGGACACGGCCACCAGATGGCAGCAGCTGCGGAAGACCGGGCAGTGGAGACCTTCGCCTGGGTGGGACTCCGGGTGGTGGTGGGGGTCCTGACCAAGAGAGAGAGACCTGCCAGGAGGACCCCTCTCTGGAATGCACCCCCCACACTGCTTCACAGCTGTGTCTACCTGGGTAGCCAGGGGCACCAGCAGGCACAACCTCTAGGCGAGTGGAGGCGGCACAGGTGTTGTCACTGCTGACAGCCCTGGTCATGGATGAGAGGAGGGGTGGCCTGTTTCCCTGCTCTGCTGGTCAAGGCAGGGCCACCTGTGACCCGCATCAGAGCAGAGCCAGCACCTGTGGCCGGGGAAAAAAAAAACAGTTTCAACATCTAAAGGTGTCACCTTCCTCCATCTGCAGATTCTTTTCTGTAAAATCGCCTGGCCTCCCTTGGGGAGCCTCACCTGGCTGGCTGGGCAGCCCAAAGGCAAAGGGGGCTCAGGCGTGACTGTGTGGGCAGCCATGTGGTGCTGGATCCCAGCCACGGCCTCGTGCCCCGGGGCTGCTGCTGCAGCGGCTAGGACGCCTAACAGGGAAGCTCACCTGGCCCTGGGTGGCCGGGGGCAGAGCAAGGAGACAGCGCCCCCTGTTCTGCCCACTGGGGAGCTGCACACCTGTCGCCCCCTCTGCTTACCTGTAACACACCCTATCCCTCACAGATGTTGTCCATTTGGACAATAAGTTCTACATCCTCCCTGCTGGCTGAGGTCGGTCCAGTGGGTGCCTCCGTGGACCTGTTCCCTCATGCGCAGAGGCAAGGTGCGGTTCCCACGGGCATAGGTGGGGGGAAGACCTCCAGGGGCACACCCACAGTCACCGAAGTGGGTTTTGTGCTTGCTGCAGCGAAGGGGGACCACGGCTGTCTCTGAGACAGGGTGCTGGGGGCGTCCACTGAGCAGCTCAGCCTGGGCTTGGCTGTGGGTTGGATGCTGTGGCCAGGCGTCTTCATCGGCCTCTCCGCAAGGAAGCTGGGTCCTAGGCCATCATTGGCACAGAAGCCGCGGCCACCCTCTGGCCAGCAGGCGGGGTGTCTGGTCCTTTCTGTGCTGTGGACCATACCCGTGATTTGCCCGTGCTCCGCAGTGACTCCCATGGGGTCCTCATGTCTCCTGCTCAGGTCTTTCCTGCCCAGCCATCCCCCCTGGAGCCTGCTGGGGGCTGCGGGGGTGGGGGTGCGGGTGGTCGTGGAACACGCCGTGGGCTTTGTTGGCAGTGAGGGCCTGCAGTTCCGGGGAAGCCTGAGCACCCGGGACAGGTGACCTGCGTTTTTTCAGCTCGGGTCGTCTGGAGCTCCGTGATGAAGTCACCCACGGACGACAGCTCCTGGGATCACGCCCTTGGCCTTGTTGCCATCCAGGCTCACCTGAAAACACCAGCACCTCTGGGACTCCCTGATTGGCTGAGCAACTGGGGTGGGGAGAGCTGGGTGCTCAGGAGGGCCCCCAGGGGTGGGCAGAGCTGTGAGGGGCTGAGGAGCCATCTGGAGATGGCAACCGGGGATGCCGGCTTGCGTGTCGGGCAGAAACACCTGCTGCCATTCGCCCTGCTGGCAGCTCAGAGGGAGGTGCAGGCCCTGCAGGCATGGCCCCCGCCCTTACCTCGGAGGGCCTGAGTAGGGAAGACAGTGAGCCTGGGCCAGGGGCTGGGGCTCTGCCGGCTGTTCGCAGTGACCTGGGCCCCAGACAGCTCTCCCTGGGCTTCTGTCCTTTCCTCTACACAGGTGGACAAAGTTCCACCCTTACCCCCATCCTTGGCGCTGCTTGCCAGGTGTCCCCAGGCCTGTGACCCTATCTCATCCTTCAAACAGCCCTGGGGAAGAACCTGCTGACCTCACCTGGCGAAGGATTGTTCAAAATCCCAGACCCCAGAGTCAGAAAGACTCGGATTTGCACTCAGCCGCTCTCAACGCTGTGCTGTGTGACCTTGGACAAGTCACTGCCCCTCTCTGAGCATCAATGTGCACATTTATGTATGGCAAGTGTCTTGGGCTGTTGCAAAGAGCTAGCAGGCATAACGCCTCTGGCATATGGCAGGTGCACAAATGATGTCTGTCTCCTTCCTTAGGAGGAAATTTTCTCTATGCACAGGGGGTCAACTCTGCCCTGCTGATAAGTAAGACGGGCAGTGAGCAGGGAGAAGCTGAGTGTGAAGGCTAAGAGTGGCTACTGAGGGCCAGGGGCTGAGGGGCAGCTCAGCGGACAGCGCCGCCTGCAGGAAAGGAGGAGGAGGTGCTATGCAGAGCAAGAGGGCCAGGGTCCCAGGAGCATGCAGGAGGAGCAAGTTTGCTGTACCTGGGCAGACTACGCAGCGAGCGCAGTAACGGAGTGTCTACCAATGGCAGGTGCTCCACCTGGGCGACCTCCCGGAATTCAGTCCTCCTGCTGGCCCTGAGAGAGGGCCATCATGGGTGCAGGGCTGGGATTCAAACGCAGAGCCTCTGAGCCTGGGCTCCGGCTGCACCCCCTGCCCCATGCGCTGAATCAGCCTCCACGATGGGGCTGCGCTGTGATGCAGTGGGCTAAGGCGCGGCTCGTCATGCTGGCAGCCCACATCAGAGTCCAGGTGAGCATGCGCTGCTCCTGATCCAGCTCCCTGTCGATGCACCTGGGAAAGCAGGAGAAGCTGGCCGAGTGCTGGGGCCCTGTCATCCACGTGGGAGACCCGGATGGAGCTCCAGCCTCCTGGCTTCAGCCTGGCCCATCCTTGGGTGTTTGGGAAGTGAACCAGTGAATGGAAGATCTGTGTGATTGTGTGTGTGTGTGTGTGCACACGTGTGTCTACCTATCACTCTGCCTTTCAAATAAATGAAGCAAACCTTTAGGAAAGGCTGGAGGGTGCACCTGCTCTGCGGTGCGCTCCTCTCACCCATGCTAGCCTCACAACCTGCAGGATTGGTCCCATTTTACAGCTGAGGAGTAAAGGCTCAGAGAAACCAAATCGTTGTCCCGTGCTTTCAGACAAGGGCAACCTGGCAGAGAGGCGGCGAGGCTGCAGGTCCCACAGTCCTGGCGGGAACTGCCCTGCAGGCCCCGCCTTTATGACCCTCCCAGAAACAGGAGAGAGGCGCTCACCTGCAGACCAGGCAGCGAGGGCCCGCTGAGCACCCACCTGCACCGCGCCCTGTGTTAGCATGGCGGGAGTCACTGCCCTGCTCCCCCGCCTCCCGTGACTCCCTGTTGCCCACCAGGTCAGTCTGATTCCTTGCCTGACATCCCAGGCCTTTCCTGACCCGGCCCGACTGCCCCTCCCCCCAGTGCCACCAGAAACCCGACCTTTGGCCTCTGCTTTTGCTCAGGCTGCTCCCCCAACCTCCCTCCCGACAGCCCGGGGCTGGGGGGCTGGTGGGCAGTGGTGGAAGTCTTCGGATGCGGGGTCAGCAGCCTGTGGGCAGGAGGGTCCGATGTCATTCATTCACTTTTTTGTTTCTTCATTCATTCGTTTATTCTAGCCTCAAATACTATAATTACCCGCTTGGTGCCACTCCCTGGGCTGGGGACAGAGAGAGCCCCACTCCTGTGGGATGACCACAGAGCGGTCAATGACCACAGAGCGATGATCAGCAAGGTCAGTGCTGAGCAGAGGGAAACAGCAGGGGTGTGGACACCCTGGAGACAGCCAGGGGTCTCAGGACGCAGTTCACATGGAGCTCTGCCCTGCAGGGCCCCCCAGGGAAGCACAGTGAGGGAGAGCAGCCCAGGCCAAGACGGGGAGCCCTACGTCACCCCACCACGTCTCGGGAC